TCCCCAAAGAATTAAAAGAATCATACCACAGTGATATATGTGCACCCATGTTCATAGCAGCACAGTTTGTAATAGCTAAAACTTGGAAACAGTCCTTTTTTCCTTTTATTCCTTCCAAGCCACAAGTCTATTGGTTGATGCCACCCATAATCAGGGTGGGTCCTCCCCCATCAGTTTGCTGGCCTACATGCCAATCATCTCTGGAAACACCCCACAGATGCATCCAAAAGTGTGCTTTATTAATCCACCAGGCCTTCCTTAATCCGGTCAAGGTGACACATCACTAGTAACGGTCACACTGCCCCTGAGAAGGCAGTGAATGAAGCTGTATTCATGAAGCCAAGGGTACAGTGGACACCCCAGGAAGTTGGATATCCTAGGAATGTGGAACATCTGCTGAGAAAAGCTGCAGGGTGGGAGCGCAGCCAGCCCAAGAGAGAAGCCATGTGGGCCCCAAGCAGCAATGCTATGGGGGCTGCCAAAGCCATTTGCAGCTCACATCTCACTACAACTTGCCCAGGTGCTGGATAAAGAGCAACAGAATTTAATGTTTGCCCAGCTAGTTTAGGGTCTTATCTTGGTTCAATCCCTTTCTATTCCCCTACTCCTCCCTTTTAGGATGGGGTTTTTACTCTGTGTCATTGTATGTTGGACGTATTTCACTTTGCTTTTTTATTTTCACAGGGCTCATAGTTAAGAGTTTGCCTAGAGTTTCAGAGGCAACTCTGGATTTGGACTTTTCAGTGATTCTGGAACTTTTAAGACCTTGGCAACTCTTAGAAATGGACTAAATCCATTCTGCATAATGAAATGGACATGAGCCTTTTGAGGGTCAGATGGGAATGCTAGGGTTTAGATCTAAAGTGTCCCCCAAAAGTCCATTTCAGGTAGGACTTTTGGAAGGTGACGGGATCATGGGAGTACTGTACTCAGCGAATTAGTCCACTGATGAGTTCATACCTGAATGTGCTGTTGGGAGATGGGGGTCTTATTGGAGGTGAGTCACTGGAGATGTGACCTGAAAGGGTATATTATTGTTCTTGGCTCCTCTTCCCCCTCCTCCTTTCTCTCTCCCTGTCCTTTTCTGGCTGCCGTGAAGTAAATGGCTTTCCTCAGCCATGCCTGACAACCAGGCCATTTCTGCCTTGGAGTCAGCCAACCATGGATTGAACCCTCTAAAACTGTGAGCCAAATCAAAGGTCTCTTCCTTTAAGTTGTGTGTGTCGGATATTGAGTCCCAGCAATGGGAATGTTGGCTAACACAGAGAATTGGTATCAGAGAAATGGAATCATTGCTGTGACTACCCAACACCCAAAACTTAAAAGAGAAGAGGTTTAATTTAACTCATGAGTTTTTAAAAAATCTGTGGTTGGCTGTCTCCAAGGCAGAAACAGCACAGTGGAGGATGGAAGAGGAAAGTTGCTCATTTCATGGCAACCAAGAAGTAGAAAAAGAGAGAAAAGGAAGGATCCAGAGACAATAATATGCCATTCCAGGTCATATGCTCAGTGACCTATCTCCAACTAGACTGAACCTCCTAACTGCAATTCAATTATGGAACTCATCAATGGATTAATCTGCTGATGAACTTAATGTCCTCTGGCCTGGCAAACATGCAGCCCTCAGTTCTAACTGGTGCTGTGGTACACACCTGGAATTCCAGCAATCTGGGAAGATGAAGTAGAGGGATCACAAGATGAGCCCTGCCTTAGCAACTTAGAGATTTAATGAGATACTGTCTCAAAATAAAATAATAAAAAGGGCTGGGGATCTTGCTCAGTGTAGTTCAGACGTAGCTTAGATGTAGCTAAGTGTAGTTCAATCCCCAGGACCATCCAACCAACCAACAAACCCCTGAAGTTTCTTCATCATGATACTTTTAATAAGCAGCTGGAAAATCAAGATAATTTATAATGATGACAGAGAAATGGCCACTGAGAAGGAATATGGTAGTTGGTTTAGAAGTGATAGTGTGTTTCACCCAGGTTCTATTGTATGGGAGTCAAGGCCAGAAAAATATCATCATGTACCACCAATATAATTGCAGCCTGTGATGTCATTTCAGGTATCCAAAGCTTTCCAACCTAAAAAAATACCTCCCAAGTAATTACTCATCTCCTATCTTGCCTTAAAAAGTAATGACCCTTTCCATTTTCCAGACATAGAATTGGAAATACTATTTTCTTTTGGACACATGCTCTCCTCAGAGTAAACTGGGGCAGAGCATTTAGCTAGAGGAGATGGGTTCCTCAAGGGCTGAGTGGAAGAGGGACAAATAGGAAGTGCTTACAATTCTCAAAGTAAACCTCCTCTACTTTTTTCCAATTTTGTTCTTGGCTGACTCAGTCTGCAACATATCTTTATTTTCCATTGGCTTTATTATCTAATAAGAATTTTTACCTTCTGGTCTGAGAACTAAATACTGTAGTAAAATTAGGCTAGGAATTTTCAATTGGAGATCAGGCCTCAGGGCACTATCTCATTACTATTTTCTTCTCCCCATGCACATACAGGTGGCCCTGGCCACTGAGATGACATCCTCTCTGAAGGTCTGGGGCATTCTCTTGACCCTGCTTGGCCTCCAATGCAGGCTACTTGCACCGAGCAAAGACATTTCCAGGCAGAAATTTATGGAAGACCACCACCTATGTCCAAGCCAAGAATTCAGTGCATACAAATGTGACTTCCTCCTGAACGAAAGAGAAGCTGTGAAGCACAAGATTCTTCACCTGTTCATTTATATCTCATGGTACAAAGTGGAGCACATATGCTATAGTAGCAACAGGAACGACCACAACAGGAATGTATATGTATGGCCCCAGGTACCAATCAAAGTGCTCAAGTGTCACTGGGAGAGTTTTACAAATAGCTACAGAGAGAGCAGGAGCTCAACTATATTCAATTCCACTGTAACATAAAGGAGTATGTCGATAACATAGAAGACGTGAAGCTCATAGAGCCCATCTTCAACTAGCAAGCCTACTCCATCCCCAGGCTTTGATAATTAGTGGTCTCAAGCAGTGGTCCCTGCCTACTGCTATAGCCAGCCACTCCCCAGTTTGCATTTCTGTGTCAATGTTTTCCAGTTATTTAGAGTTATGTACCACACAGTTTCTTTCTTTCATCCTTTCTTTTCTTCTTCTTGAGATAATGTCTCACTATGTAGTTCAGCCCAGCTTTGAATTCACTATGTAGCTCCGGCTGGCCTCGAACTCCCAATCCTCCTGACTCAACCTCTTGAGTTCTGGGATTATAAGTGTGTACTAACATATTTTCTTGATTCTACTCAAGAACATCCTGGGCTATTCTCTGCATAAACCAATATTCTGTCCTAATTTACTCCTACATTTTTTTAAAGGCTCAGCATTCTCAAGCATTTCCTGATAGTGACATCATTATACCCACGCAACCTGAACCATCTTTTCTTCTGTAAAACATGTTGTTCTAATATGTGAGAAATATAAATACACACTGTACAGCGTTTATGTTGTGTCTTTGGTAATGAGCAATGTGTTTGATGTAATATAAAGTATAATTAATATAGTTGTGCACATGTTTAAGGTGCATTTTATGTGTAGGTCTAAATATATATGTTTGTATATCTGATGGGGATGTAACTGTCTATATGCTAAGCTGGAGACAAGTTCTGACCTAGCCATTGGATGTGGTGGCATCCCTAGTTCTACCCAGATCGGAGGCAGAGGCAGAGGGTTTTTTCATTTTCCATCTTTTGGCTTGGAATTTTGAATTTGGCTTTGATAAAACAGACATATATTCATCAATCTTCTGCTTTTCCTCACTCCAGGAGACTGGAAACTTTTCTTTTCTTTTCTTTTCTTTTTTTCCACCACTGGGGATTGAATCCAGGGTCTTCACACTGAGCCACATTGCTAGCCTTAAGAAAAAAAATTTTTTTGAGCTAGGGTCTTGCTAACACACTAAGTTGCCCAGGCTGGACTTGAATTTGTAATCCTCCTGCCTCAGCCTCTCACAAACCTGGGATTACAGGCAAGCACTGCCACGCCTGGGAACATGGGCATTTCTAATATAAAACTACAATAGGCTGTCATATGTGTGGAAGCTCTTATCAGCAAAAATCACAAAGGACCCTTTCTCTATTAACCACAGACTGACAGATGCCCCTGCTGGAATTATGCAGTAAGAGTGTTTCTAAGAATGCCAATTCATTTTAGATGAGTTGGTGGATTTCTTTTTCTGCCTTAGAGAAGAAAACATGAAGTAGAAAATACTAGAAAAAAAAGGCGTTTCTCTGCTAATAACTATTCTCACTTGGCAGAGAAATAAGGTAGGGTTGGAAGATTTGTAAACACTATACTCCTTAAGAATGAGACTGGCAATTTGTTATAAGGATGTAAAGAGGAGAAGGAAATGTTGGAGCACAAGTCAGTAGAGTCCACATGAATTCTTTTGCAAAGTGAAGGAGACAAATACAGTCAGAAAACAATTCTCTCCGTACAAGTTTGCTTAGAGGAGATAGTGGCAGGATAAATTGCAAGCATTCGAGTTTCTTACGTTCTTTGATCTCAGCCATGTTGCATAACACCAACGTTGAAACAGTCAGAAAGACCAAGGTATCAATACTTTTAATTAGATCACTGGACACCTTAGGACTCTGGCCTCCGTCAGTAGGCAGTGTATCTAGGTTGATTATCATGTTCCCACGACAGTTCTCAGCTTTGCAATTTTTCAGTGAACTTCGAGATGAGTTGATACCAAGATAATGACCTATATCAATCAGAATCAAAAGAGATTAGTTTTAAGCCACTAGTTCTTCATCAGTGGTCACTTTACATATCAGGCATACAATTTTTTTTCTCTTTGTAAATGCTGTGTTTGCATGCACAGGCGCGCGCACTTGTGTGTGTGTGTGTGTGTTTTCCTGGAGACGGAACACAGGAAGTACAAAAGAACATCCCTAGCCTTTTTTCTTTTTCTGTAACTTTGAGGTAGGATCTTGCTGAGTTGCCTAGCCTGGCCTTGAATTGGGGATCCTCTTGCCTCAGCCTCCAGAGAACCTGGAATTATAGGTGAATACCACCACACCTAGCTGGTAAATGATCTCTAAATGCAGTATAGAGAAGGAAAAAATATTTTCCTTCTATCCTTCTAGGTTCTTGTTTCAAGTCCATGTAACAAAAATCAGATTAAGAAAACAAATGAAAGTTCGTTAACGTGTATCTCTTATAAACATGAGAAAAAAATCAGGGATAAATAACTCAGACAAGGGGGAGATTAGCTGCTAGGCAAGGTGGGCACTTCTTGGGGGAAGCTCCTATACTCTGAGGGGCTGGACTGCTGCCCCCTAGAAGGCTGTTTTCATGCTTTCAAAGTTGTTTTTCTGGAAGGGCTGCCCGATTTCTGCTTTGGGGAGGACACTGCTTTACAAAATAACGTCAGTATTCTCCCTACTTGGGGTAAGAAACCTCTCTACTCTTTTATCTCCCTGTTACAGTTATTGGCTTTGCACTCAAGCAGTGAATCCATTGTTTTCAGTCACAGTTTGAATTTAGATTCGAATTCTGTTCGGTCTCAGAAAATGACATTCTAAGTGATGCTTTAGCATGCTCAGTGTTTGGGGCATTTGATTTTTGTTTTGGTAAGTTTTGTTTGTGTTACTAGTGGTTGAACCCAGATTCCTTGAACTAAGCTACATCTCCACCCCTTCTCTATTTTCAGTCTCTCGACATTGCTAAGTTTCCCAGGCTGAGCTCCTGCCTCAGTTTCCCAGAGCGCTGGGATTACAGGCATGTGCTACCTGCCCAGCTGTGTTGAGTGCTTTGAACAACGGGAGAACCAAGGCCTCTCTGATCTCCCAGCCCTGTCTTCTTCTTTCCCTTTGGAAGCACAGTGGGGCTTTCTCGGAGGTTCTGTATTTGAAGGAAAGTTCCCCCTGTAAGAATGTAATTGTCATGGACAGACACCTTTTCCTGGAACTCTTTGTAAACAGAAAAGATGAACTCACAGCAAAGAAGACCAAAGGTCCATGATTGTTGCCAATTTATGACCCCAAACTGGGTCCTTTTGCCATCTTAGAACTGTTCAGCCAGCAAGAAAACCAAGCACCGATTGAGCAATGAGGCAGATGTTTATTCTTGGTCAAGAATAGAAATGGGAAATAGACTTGCAAAGCAAGCAGATCAACATCTTGATTTGGGGGGATGTAGCAAATTATAAATATAGTGTAAAAGAAATGAGTTATAATGAGAAGCTAATGAAGGGAAGGAATTTTAATGTCTCTTCTGGGAAGGAGCAGAGATCTTATGGAGAATCAGATGCCGCTTCTTTTCGCTGCTTTTATGGTCCTTTTGGATTCTCTGCATGGCAACTGTCATGGTGCAAGGGTGTGTGTCATTTAACATGCAGGGGCACTATTATGAAGTTTTGGGTTTTTTGACTGGTTTGGTTTGATTTTATCCCGGGAACAGTCTCCTGCTCTGAGCCAGGCAGAGTCTGCATGGAGAAGAGGATATAATGAAGCTAAGGACTGTCTGGCGGGCCCTAGGGCAGCCTTCTTACATCTAACTGGTTTTGGCCAGCCCTGCTGAGGAGAGACTTCTGGCCTTGAGCATCCTGTTCTCAAAGAATAGAGTAGGTAGAAATTCAGCTAGGTCCCTTGGGGAGTACTAATTTAGCAAGAGATTGTCGCAAACAACCATCTATTCTTCTGAATTCTTCCGAGCTCTTTGACCTGAGAATTTTACAGTACTTTTCGGGGGGAAGGCAGGGTCTCACTATGTATTTCAGGTTGTCTTTGAAATCACTATGTAGCCAGAGTGGCCTTGAACTCACGGTGATTCTCCTGCCTCAGCCTCCTGAATGCTGCTGGGATTACAGGGGTGTGCCACTGTGCCAGGGTACCTGAGATATTTTATGTTCATAGCAAATTAGTCTTTGTCAAGCAGTTACTCCCTCGAATCTCCCATAAATGGATACCACTTCCCCCAGAATCCCAATCCCTTTCTGGAGCTACAAATGTTATTTGCCCTTCAGCCCCCTGAGTTGCGTCTATTTTTTATAACTCCCATGTACATGCTGGTAAATAAATCTTTCTCCTGTTCATCTAGCTATAGTTCATTTATTTCAAGGACTCAATTATGGAAGTTCAGGGGCCAGAGAGGAAGTTCCCTTTTAGTTAGTGGGATTTGGGGTGCTGGAGTCTCTTTCTAGAGGTGGTTTCTAGGTTCTTTCTGACTTGAGCAAACAATCGGTCAAGCGAAATGCAAACAGTAGCAAGGTCTTACATTTATTAAAGGTAGGAAAGAAACATGTTCTGCAGAGCAAGTTTGGGCCAAGCAAAACTAGGAAAAGAATTACTCTACAGCCTGATTGTGGACCACCCTGCAGGGGAGAACACAGTTGTGAAGAGCTCAGTGACGACTGTCCTTTTGTATCACCTGCTCCTCAGGCCAATCTAGTCCTTCCTAGCCAAAACTACCCAAGTTCTTGCAAGAAGTCTGTGTGCAGGGCTTTGGGAACTGTTCTGTGCATGTGTCTTGGGCGTTTTGTAATTAACTAGTCAGCCTACTTCTCCAGCCACCTCTGCCACACCCTAATCTGCCACACCTCATTTAATAAACTCTGTAAAGTTGTTTGTGAAGGCTGAACTGACAGAAAATGAGATATCTAGATCTGTGGTATCGTTACAATAAAACTAGCTGCTTGACCCATGAGACTTCTCTGAAAGGACACAAACTAAGTACCCTTAACCTTCTACCCAGGCTAAGCCACATGTATAATGAAATAGTAAACATGCCCTTTTGTTTGTTTGGTATGAGACAAGGTCTCACTTTGTAGTTTAGGTTGACCTTGAATTCACTATGCAGCCATGGTTGGCCTTGAGTTCACAGAGATCCTCCTGCCTCAGCCTCTTGAGTGCTGGGATTACAGGTGTGTGCCACCATGGATGACAATAAACATACCTTTAATGTGCAACACACATATTTCTTCCCAAATGCCCTGTGACTCTTTTCTTGGAGTTGGTGCATACAGATGTCCTTATCTCGAGCCTTAGGGGCTTCCATGAGGACCAGAGTAGTGAACTCCAGAGAGGCTAGAGGCAGGAAGTGCATGTGAAGTGCAAACAGGCTGCCAATCAAGAAGGAAGCACTGGCCAGGGATTTAGCTCAGTGGTTTCGATGCCTGCTGCGCAAGCACAAGGACCAGAGTTCCATCCCTGGTACCAAAAAAACAACAACAACAAAAAAAAAGAAAGAAGCACTAAACATTTAGCAGGAAGGGATCAGTTCCCTAAAACTGTTTTGAGTCATCTTGTTCTGCAAATGAGAATTCTTTGTCTATTAATAGTGATAATGATATGACCTTGAAGAGGAGATTTAAGAAGATCCAGATTCTCATCCTCACTGCAGAAGGAGTTCACATCTGCTAAGAGGCAGGTTTCTCTTTCCTGGGTTTCAGAATTTGTCTTCCCCTGCCCAGCACAAGCAACACTGGTGGGCTGGGGAAAAGAAAAGCAGAAGGAATCTTCTGAACCTGGACTAAGCACTGTTCTGAGCTCACCAGGAACCCAGCACACACACCGGTAAGAGGGGAGAACCTCAGGCTGGGATGAGCAGGGCAGTGAAGACGGCTGGGAGGAGGTGGTCAGAGATGAAGGTCAACATCTCAGGAGGGAGGAGGTGAAACACCCAGGTTATGAGGGTTATTGCATGCATGAGTACAGGTCAGAGAGGGGAATGGGCTATGCCAATCAAGGGAAAGGTCTGCTCACCTCACAATCTTTCACTGGAATTGTGAGACTACATGGGAGAAATTTTTTCAGAGCTATGAAATCTTTAAAGGAAAAACAAGAATATAAATAGTTATGATTAATAATTTTGCTTTTATTGCTTCTATTATTACCATGATCTTTCCTTTTCCTACCCAGAAAAGATGGTTCGAGATGTGAGATTTCCTCTCCTACTGCTGCTGGGGCTACTTGTGCTACCGTGTCCATTGTGGGCTTTGCCTAAGAAACTCACGAAGGCTCAATGGTTTGAAATCCAGCACGTACAGCCGAGTCCTCTCCGATGTGACAAGGCAATGAGTGGTGTCAACAATTATACCCGGCACTGTAAGCCTACAAATACCTTTCTGCATGACTCTTTCCAAAATGTGAGTGATTCCTGCACCTCGCCCAATGTCACCTGCAAGAATGGTCAGAAAAACTGCCACCAGAGTGCAAGTCCTGTCAACCTGACTATCTGCAGGCTCACCAGAGGGAAGTATCCTCACTGTCCGTATAAAGATGTTCCCCAGATCAAATTCTTCATTGTGGCCTGCGAACCACCTCGGAAGAATGACCCTCCCTATCCACTGGTTCCTGTACACTTAGATGGGATTGTCTAAGGGTTTGATTACATTTCCTTTCTTTTGACACAATTTCTGTTAAGTTTTTTCTGCTTTTGGTTTTCTTATTTAATGTCCTTTCTCCCTCTGAAGAAAGAAGGTGATGAGAAGTTAGGAGTACCTCGGATATTGGACTAGACTTGGGAATAATACGTATGTTTATATATTTTCTCTGCTTTGGAGATCTGTTTGTGTTGAAGCAAGGCAAATACGGAAAGGGGGAAGAGGGACATAGGCCTTGGGACTTTTGCCAAACTGTAATGCACTGTATTCACAATAATAAAACCACTTCCTACTGCTTGCTAGTGAGTGTAATTGTTTCTGTCCCTTTTCAAATCATCACCTGCCAGTATTCTAAGGAGAACTACTTTGTTCTTAGGTCTCAAGACCGCCTTTGAGGTCCTCCTGAGAACTCAGCCACTTTCCTTGCCTCTATGTTCCTGAGACTTCAACCAAGGAAGTCCTCAATCCCTTTAAACTTGCCTCATCATTTAATTAGTTCCTTACAGCCATTGTCTGTACTCATTTGGAGGTGATGGTGATCCCTCAGACAGAGAGGTGATAGTACTTTCTTTTCCCCCAAAGGATGGATTAGGGCTGGGATGCTGGGAATTAAGCCCAGGGAGTGCTGAACTACATCTCCAGCCCTTTTGCTTTTTTATTTTGAGACAGGATCTGGCAGTTTCCCAGGTGGCCTTGAATTCATGATCCTGCTACCCTACACTCCTGAGTGAGGGATTACAGATGTGCACCACTATGCTCAAAACTGTCAGACCTGCCCTAAGTCAACAGGAAAAATAAACAGGCTGCTTTTAACAAATACCAGCAGCTTTCCAGTAAGTGAGGCAAATGGAGTGAAATATATAGCTTTCAACCCCTTGGTCCCAAACAATCCTGTAATTGTATTCATACCGAAACAGAGGGTCCTTGGGCAGCTAAGTCATAAATATGTCACCCCAGATTCCTTAGCCCCTTCAATACCTAGATAACCCTAATTCCTTTCCCAGTTAATTGCTAATCTCTCTCCCTGGTGTTAGCCCATCCTTTCAGGGATGAAATCTCCCAGCTAGCTGCCATTATCTCTCTCTCCCATTGTCAGCCCATCCACACACAGGTGTGATAAACTTGACTTTTCCCAGGTAGCTGCTAAAATCTCCTGATTTCTAGTCCCTGTGCACTGGAATAAACTTGTCTTTTTCTCACAATGTAGAGCCTGTTTTTTGTTGACAAGTGGATTCTTTATAACAAAAAACATCATTAGTCTTGCATTAAGTTTTCAATATTTTGAGACAAAGTCTTGCTAAGCTACACAGGCTGGCCTGAAATTTGCAATCTTCCTGCTTCCACCTTTGGAGTAGCTGGGATTATAGGCATGTACCTGTCTGTCTCCAGACCTGGTTTTCTTTATTCCATTCTTGTTTTCATGTCTAGGTTTTAGATGTCTTTAAGGTGAATATTTTGTAGTCAGATGACAAGAGGTCATTCCTAGACTGATGTTCCTTAATTCTACAGATCTATAGCCTGTGCACCCATAGTCAAATCCCATGCAAACATATATTGTCCCTATTTTACAACAATCCCATGTTCCCATGTCTCAGGGCTCTCCCCTTAAGTAATTATATGATGGTGCTTGTGAGCAAGGAAGGAGCGGTGAGGAGGAAAGTCTCCCCTGCTGGTCAGGAGTGTGGCCCTGCACTACACCTTCATGGGCAGGTTTCCAACGAAGCCAGGAAACTTCCTGACCCACTCCTGTGTTTTTTCACTGCTGCTCTGATCTCACCTGCACATCAGCTTCTCCTTGATGTGGGCTTCAAGCCAAGGCAAAAGTCCCCATGGGCTCTCAGGGCCTGGGGAGACCTGTGAGCCTAGGCAGAGGCAAACTGGGAGCTTTGACTCTCGGAGGCTGTCTAAAGTGATCTGCAAGGAAAATCTGCCCGGGTGAGGTATTGAATATCTGCTAAGATGATCAAGACCTCCAAAGTGACTTTATGCTGAAAGTATCCATCGTAACTAATTCAGATCTCAACCTGTGATTTTTCTAGAGATTCCTAACTATGCAAAACTAAGAAGTGCACGCCACAGCCCAGCCCTGGTAAAATGTGGGCAAATATACAACTGGAAAATCCCAGGTGTAAGGGGACTTTGGGATCATCGAGCCTCTACCCCTGGATTAGGAAACTGGTTCAGAGAGGGATACAGAGTTGCTCAGGGACACAGAGAGCTGTAATAGGGCTGGGACTCAACCACGGGCCCCACCCAATTATCTACCACATGCAGGATGAGTGAAAAGGGAAGGAAACTGACCCTCAGCATAGGCCCTCCCCAGACTTGCAGCAAGAAGAAACTGGAGAATAAAGTAAGAGTGTGATGAGCTTGAAAACACTGCCACCACACTTAGTAGAGCAACGCATGCAGATTAACAACTCCTTTATCATAAACTATGAAGACAATCATGGCTTAATCAGTCTATGAACCCAAAATTTCTCTGAAAGAGTCTATTTAAAAAAAAAAATAAGGGAGGTCTGGGGATTTAGCTCAGTGGTTGTGTCACGTGCCTCTCAAGCACAAGGACCCGAGTTCGATCCCCGGTAACCTCCCCCCCCCACAAACAAAGAAAAAATAAGGGAATGGGAAAGAACATGAGGAGGAAGGAAGGAATCTGAGAAGACACCTTCCCATATACACTTATTAAAAACCCACAAGGAGGGCCGGGGATTTAGCGCAGTGGTTCAGCCACCTGCCCCAAAAGCACAAGGACCTGAGTTTGATCCCTGGTACCAAAACCAAACAAACAAACAAAAAACCTACAAAGAAACAAACAAACAAACAAAAATCTAAAGTTACTGAATGATTTGCAGAGGAACTACCAGGAAACAGTTTTGTGAAGTTTGAAAATGCACCAGTGCCGAGTCTTAGGGAGGTCTACCTTCAGGCTGAAATCTACTTGGTATCCCTCAATTCCATGACCTCTAAGGTCTTTCAGCTCTATGGTTTAAGGTTCTGACTCTCTAAGAGTCATTTTTCTGATGTGGAAGTAGCTCACTGAACAAATAAAATAGAAATTTAGGATCATAATTTCATAGACTCCATCTCATAGTGAGGCCATGCAGGGTCTTCCTGTGGCCATGCTCCCCCTGGTTCTATGCTAGAGAATTATGACATCTGAGTGTCACTTTTATCAGTTTAACCAGGACTACAATGTCTCCAGTTGTTGCTCCTTTTTACCAACATCACATATTTACAAGTTTTATACTCAACATCAAGTAATCCATAGGAAGGAAATTTTCTCATAGCACTGAAATCCAAGAGTGGGAGGATCATTTAATTTCTCCATTTGCTGTTCACCAAAAGGAATTAGCTTTTCATGTCTTACTCCTTGCTGGAAGGTACCTTAGAAACAGTACCTTGGAAGGATGCTTCAGGAATTAAGGGACTGAAACCGTGTTTATTGAAAGAAGCAGTGAAGGAGTTAATGTGGAGCCCACCTCACCACCCACTCTCAGCCCCAAAGCCATGCAGAAGCAGGACTGAGGAGAGGGAAGCATGTGTGTGTTGGACAGGAGCCCTAACTACAGGTATTTCTTTGGGGGAAAGAGAGACGAGGGGAAAGGTGGGTGTTGAAATGCTGAGAAGGGGTGAGATGGGTGTCTCCCTGCTCTGGCTTAGGTGGAGGACTCCACAGAAGCATCGAAGTGGACTGGCACATACGGGTTCCCCTCACAGGCCACGATGATGCTCCTCTCCATCTGGCTGGTGCGGTAGGAGCAGGTGGGGTACTTGGAGTTGCTCGTCAGGCGGCAGTCTGTGATGTGCATGCTGGAGCTGCTCTGGTAGCAGTTGGTCTGCCCATTTTTGCAGGCGACATTTTTCTGGAAGCAGACAGCCTGGACATCTGCTAGGGGCTCATGCACAAAGGTGTTCACGGGCTTGCAGCGTCCCTCCGTCATATTCCTGCGTCTCATCATTTCATTGCAGTAGTTGGCGTTGGTGTTGGGGGAACCCTCTGAGTCCATGTGCTGCCGCCGGAACTTCATGGCAGAGGATTCTTTGCCCAGGGAAGGCTGGACACACACCAGCCCCAGGAGCACCAGGACAAGTAGTGGGAAGAGGACCAGGGACTTCTCCAGAGCCATGGTGACCTCACTGTCCTGGGGGGGCCTAATGGGAAAGGGAAAGGGAAGGAAGAGCAGGCTTTTACATATTGCGGTCTCGCTCCCACCTGCTGCTTCTCAGCACAGTCTCCTTTCCCAGAAGACAGGTCTTTTCCAGAGATTGCCCAGGTAATGAGACTAAATGAAGCCTTCTCCAAGTGCACTGTACTCTCAGTAGTCATAGAGAATCCACCCTTTCTTTTCAGTGGTAACTTAATGTCACCTAAAATACTGGTAGTGCCTCATTTGAATACTGGATTTTCTTTCATCTAAAATACATTTGAAAAATAAACTACACTTAACCCCAGTATTTAAATGGCTCATCAGAAGATCATTTTGAGCAAATGGTGAGGCAAATTTTATCAGTGAGTTATTGCCATGACATCCAGGATGCTGGGTGACATAGCCTGTTGGCTTAAAGCACAAGGGAAGCACAGTCCAGTGCCTGACACTGGCATCATAAAGGGGTTCTATTGTATTCTAAGGAGAGATGCTGGCTTTCCTCAACTTGGGGGCTCCTCCTGCAGCCCATGACCTCTTTGTACCTGCTTATTTGCCCCTCCCATGACCACCACTCTGCCCCGGTGGATGTTTCCCTGGTCCAAGAATTGTTGGTGCTAGTGAGAGCCCAAGATTTCTCAGTGCACCACCCAGCTTAGCTCCCTCCTCCTCAGCCCTCCACCAGTGGCAGCTCCTGAGACTACCGCTTGGGCCACTCACCTGGGACTCCAGAGTAGAAGGTCAGTTTCTGCACTCAGTCTTTGGGGCAAGGTCTTTATACAGATCTCAGAGGGGTTTGGCTACCAAGAAAAATGGGAGGAGCGTTTTGGGTTCCAATCAGATAAAAAATAAGAACATTGTGTGGAAAGAGTGGGTATCAGGCCAGCCCAACCCCTGTTCATGCTTGCTGGGGAGAGAGGGACTCTGACTGTCAGACTGTCTCCCATGTGAACCTCATCCGTCTGCTGATGCACAGGCAGCTGCAGGGAAACACACTACAGACGGGCACCCAAGCCTCACACACCTGACAAAGTCCTTGTCACTTCTTTGACTGTTATTTTCACTTGGTGGTTAACAAAGGGCAAATAAGGTGCTAATGAGTGAGTGAAGTCCTCCCTCCCCAGGGGTCTTGAAATGGTTTTTTGCCAGAATTCCACATCTTCCAACAGCACCTGTCCTAGGAGGGAAAGAGGAAACAGGGTTTCTCTGTCTTCAGCCAGAAGCTTTCCCAGTCCTGGAGAAGAAAGGGAGAGGGTGTCAGGACTGGGAGGACGAGGAGGCCTCTAGGGCGGGCCTACCTGGCACTTTCCACTGCCTCCATGTCCCTCCTGTGCCCTGAGGGTGCTTGGGCACTTTTTATCCACAATGACCACTGACCCTGTAAGTCAGACCTGAGTAAAGGGAAGAAAGATAAACCAAAACCCCAAATCCTTTTCAGAGAAAACATATGGAAAAAAAAAATGTAGTGGACCCTTGAGTTATCACTGGCCTAAAATATGACCGGAATTTTAGTTTTAACTTAGGAACAAAGTCTTAAATTACAACCGGAGTGCTGGCCACTTGTGCTTCAGATAGTCTCAGATACAGATTTAACCCTCAAAGAGTTCTGGAAGGAACATTACAACATCCTTTCCTATGTGGGGTTAATTGAGAAATCCTGGGCCAGTGTCTCTCTAAGGACACTGAGATCTGCCTGTATACAGGAGAGAGACTTTGAAGGTTGTGTAGAGGAACCTGACCAACTTGAATTACAACCAACCCTTGAGAACGAATTGAATTCATAAGTCAAGGATCCACTATATATATATATTTAACCAGCACAATTACAATTACCTCCTACAAAAAGACCTATTTATCTCTGAGAAACATCTTTTATACCTCTAGAGTAAGAAATACCAAAATAATCCTCCATTCTCTGAATTCAAATGGACTCAGTCCAAATCCTGGTTCAGCACCTTAAGAGCTGAGCAATTTATAGAAATGTATTTCTCTGTTCCTCGGTTTCTTCTTTTCTGCAATGAGAATGGTATGTACTTCTTAGATTTGCTGTTGGGTTGACATAAAATAAGATGTGTGAGAGCTCAAAGCAGTGGACTGACCTAAAGAGCATCAGTGGCTCCCGAGATGGTTCCATGGGTGGCCAGTCACCTCCCGAGGCTCTGTTTGAGTGACATCTTTGAATTGCTTCCTGAAGGGAGTGGAGTCAAGAAACTCCACACTTCTGTTTTGCTGAAAACCTGAGCTGAAGTTAGCATCCTTTTTGAAGTCTCAGGGAGGAAAAAAAGAGGAGGAAGATGACAAGAGGACTTTGGGTGGGAAGAACAAAATCCTTTCAGGAAATTCAGAGTAGCTTTGCTATGTGGCGTCCAACTGCAATCAACCTCACCTCTAGTGCATGTGCCGCTGGACATGAGAGGAGGGTAAGGAAGAAGGATGGTGACACTAGCTTAGCTTCACATTCCTGTAGTCCACTCACTTCCCCAGCCTTGCAAAACAAGAAATTATAAAGAAGTAAAAGCAAACATCATCTCATTTGGGGACAGAATATATTTGTGAATCAATAAAACACAGGCTCAGTTCAGAAACTGGGGAAATGTTTCACAAAGCTCAGTAGGATTAAGGCTTTTATAACACAAAGGGGCAATCTGTGGGCAGGACAAGCAGGATCAAGGTAAATTCAGTGATTTGATAGTCAGGTTAATAAATTTTCTAAGTCCATTGCAATGTCCAGGTCAAGGTGCCAACTAGACAATCGTGTTTCTCTTAAGCCATGCTAAGAATTGTTACATTCCAGAAAATTATTAACTCTGGCAGGTTCTATTCCTGATACCTGTGTGGCCACTTAGTCCTCTTAGAGAAATCTGTAAGATTCAGAAAAATGTATCTGTTTTCTTAGTATTCTGTAGCCATTTTAATTCTTATGTTATGAGCCACCATCTCAGTATGATTTCAGATTGTCCTTACACCATCTTGAGCGGCCAAGTTAGAATTCGTCCATTCATTCATTAAACAGTGGGCTACAGAGATAACTAATTTCCCAAATCATGCTGCTGATGCAGTTTTGCAACACCTGATACTTAGTATCAGTGAACCCTGATACTAAGCAAGGGCTCACTGCTTATGCTCACAAAAGCCAACTATGAAAATCTCTATTGTTCAGTCAACAAGCAAGGAGGTTCAGAGCAGTATACTCGGGTCTGCCTTCATCAGTTAGGGGATAGGGCAAGAATTTATAGGAATGGAGAAGGGAGAAGCTGCTTGTAGACTGGAGGGCAGGAGGGCAGAGTGTTAGGGTTCTGCTCAGGCATAGCCACTCACCATGCTGCTTCACAGGTCACATGTTGCTCTTTGGGGACTGATCATGTTCTGATGGGCAATCTTGATCTGTGACAGTAAAAGACCATTGATCACATGAACCAGATTTTTCTGTGCAAGTCCATTCATGGAAAGTCAGTCCTGAAAAAAATTAAAGTACTTTGTTATTATAGATATGTCCAGGAATATCCAGGCCTTACCTGATTCAATTCCATTAAGATATTGGGCTTAGGTATACTATCTTTTGTTCTGTTTTTGATGGTACTGGGGATTCAACCCAGGCTTCTCACTGAGCTACATCATAAGATCCCACCTCAGCCCCTGCCCTATCCTTCTTTTGAGACAGATTTTCACTAAGTCATTCAGGCTAGGCTTGGACTTGCCACCCTCCTGCCTCTGCCTCCTAGACTGCAGTAATTATAGGTGTTGCCACCACCCCGAGGTAAAAGTGGCTATTCTATTATCATTATCATTATTATTATTTTTGGTTTTATAAGACAAAGACTCATTTTGCAGTGCAGGCTGGACTTGAACTCACTATATAGCCTAGGCTAGCCTTGAACTCTCAGTTATCCTCCTGCCTCAGCCTCCTGAGTGCTGGGTTTACAGGAGAGTGCCACCATGCCTGGTAAGTGGTTATTCTTTTGCACATTCCCAGTGTCAGAATAAATTTAGGGAGGTGGTCCAGCAAGATGACTTCAGAATCACAATTTCAACATAAAACGAGGCCTTCTGCAACTCAAATAAGCTCACCAGCAGTCTCCTTCCCTGGAACCCCTAAACTATGAGAAGCCATGCCATCTCTTTCTGCACGGCACTCTGACAAGCCCTTGGTATTTTAATTCACCATGGGGGGAGCCACCAACAACCCTGTCAAACTAAAAGGCCAACTGAGGCACACTGATTGTCAGAGCAAAGAGTTTATTTAAGCCAAAATGAGAATGGTCATCCAGAAACAAGAATTCTAGTTGTAGGATAAGATCTCCTCAAATGGTATCCAGTGGATTTGGGCTTTTATACACCAAAGGAAAAGAAGGGATACACAAGGAGGCTGCAGAATACCAGATGCTGTAGGGATGGGGTATGGCTCAGTAGTAGAGCAAGCGCAAGGCCCTGGGTTTGATCCCTAGTGCAGGGGAGACTGTGTTGGCCTTTGGAAGTGGTGCAGGGGGACACTGATGGGTGCTTGGTCATTGTGCTATACATCTCAGGTGAGAGGCATGATAACTTGATATTATTATAGGGAGGAGAAAAACCTTCCTTCACTCCCCTACAATCTAGGGCTGGAGCCCTGTGGATTAGACTAACAAAAGACAGAATTAATTAGACTAACCATATACATTTTATTTGATTGTGTGTGTGTGTGTGTGTGTGTAGTACTGAGAATTTAACCCAGGGGCCTTTATAGTGAGCTTCACCTCCAGCTGTTTGTTTTTTGTTGTTTTTGTTTTTGTTTTGACACAGGTCTTGGTAAGTAGCTAAATCACCAGGTTGGGTTTAAACTTGCAACCCTCCCACCTCAGCTTCCCAGAGTGCTGGGATTACAGGCATGTACTACCATACCTGGCTTAATATTAATAATTTTACATGAACATAGGTGTTTTCATAAGAATTAGAAACCCAAAGATGCAGTGAACCTGGGAGTATCATTTTACCAAAGAAAATTGGGCAGATGTGATGAGACATGGGATAAGCTATTTGGATCTCTAAGGCCTGTGAGAGTTGGCCAACTGGGGTTCTTGCTTTTGAAGTTTCTTAGAAAGACTATTAATTGCTCTTATTTTTGTAATAGTGGTCCTGATACTGATCTGCAGTCTTTTTATCCAGAATTTTAAATGCTTCTATGCATCCACTTTCTCATCAGATGATCACCATAATGTACAGCAAAAGAAGTTGGGCATGTCTGTCATCCCAGCACTCAGAGGGCTGAGACTAGAGGAGTGCCTTGAGTTCGAGGCCTGCCTGGGCCGCATAGTGAGTTGAAGGCCAGCCCAAACTACATAGTAACACCTTGTCTCAAAAAACCAAAAAAAGAAAAATCAAGAAGATCTTGCCCTCCACTTGACTATGACGATGACTGGACAATTTCTGAGCAGTGAAGAACTGGAGTTCTAGCTTTCCTGAGATGTTCAACTTCTAAGAAGTAAGAGAATGATCGGGGGAGGGACTACACCAGTAAGTCCAAGAAGCTGATCCACTCTGCAGCAAATGCAGGACACCAAACAATGGTCCCTGTGTTGACTGACTCAAAAGAGCTAGTATTTGATTAATAACTGAAAACTTGCCCAATTTTTTCCCCTTCTTTGCCAGGTTAGGACCAACCAGAAGAGGCCAAATATGTGCCTTAATATGTGGTGCTTCCACTCAGCCCACCTACAGCTCCCCATGTAACAGCGTCCAATCAGAGCACACCTGAAGCCTCCTCTTTCTCTTCTAAAGCTGTTCCACTCCTCCAGTGCCTTTGAGTCTCTCCCACATGCAAGTGGTGATGGATGACTCCCTTCTAGAGCAAGCTCTGAATATATAGCCTTTGTTTGTTCTCTTTGGGTGGCTTTGTTCATTTCCACAAGATTTTTAAATGAACAGAGAAGGAACATGTATGAAGAAAAGATAGTTTTGCAAGAAAAGCTCAGGAAAATTCAGGGATGGCTTATCATGAGGTTCAGCACAGCCCCCCAAAACACACATATGTGGACACACACTCAATCTCCATGCATGCCCATACCGTATGTATTCACACACATAACAGGTAGTATTCTGTGGTTCCTTGAGAAACTCAGGTATTGAAGAAGGAGAGAAAAATTTGAATAAGATAAGATGGAAAAGTTGGGCAAGCAAAGGAAGGTGACCAGTGATTGGTGAATGGGAAAAAGCAGCCATAGACACCCAAAGCCAGTCCTGCCGCATCTTTGCCCCCTCGCTCCCAATGACACAGACATCAGCAGAGATAAGATAGGGTAATAGCCAAGGCGACATTTCTCAAGTCATCCATTTCCCTGCAGAAATCCCAAATGCGACTACACACAGGCTTTAAGATCATTTGTTAAAGGGTGATTATATGGGAAGAAGGGACTGGCTAGGCATGAAGGTGAGATAACAGTACTTTTTCCTCCACTTCTAACTTCTCCTTCTCCCCCACAGGAAGAAACTCAGTCCTGTCCTGCAGGGTCCTCTTCCCTAACTCTTTTTCATCTGGGCCACTGCTTGGTTAATGCTGACCTGTGACGGGTCAGGGAGCAGACTAGCCCTATGGGAGTCACATGTCTCCATCTTAAGGTCTCTCTGTCTGAGACCTGACTGTTCCTCTTCCCTCTCTCTCGGCCTCCAACACTAAGAGAATTTGGGGCACATACATTTAAGGGTTGATCCTCAGTCATATGCAAGACAGTGTATCTGAGGGTATTTCCAGGCATGTGAAGGTTGGAGAGCAACTTCAGCAAAACTGTGCTTTGTCTACAGGTCTCAGCCTCTTTCCTGAGCTGCTTCCCCCTTGCAGCTTTTCCATATAGCTACTCACAAGCTCCTTCCCGCTCTGAGCTCTCTCCCAGATGTAGCTCAGTGGTAGAGCACTTGCTTAGCATATGAGAGGCTCTCAGTTCAAGCCCTAGCACCAACAAAACAAAACAAAACAAAAAACCCCAAACAATGACACTAACCCCAAAAGATATATTGCCATTAATTCCTCTCACTTCAAAATCAGTTACCCCATTATTCTTTCCACTTTCAAAACCAATTCTAGAAGTCTTCTTTCATGTTCTTAGGAGGTATGATCAAAAGCACAGTGAATGCTGCTACTGTGTGCCATCCAATGGACAGGCAAGCCCATAAAAACATCACAGTGCATCTTTATTCACCTTATTCACTGGACCTGGCACCATGTGATTTCAGGATCTTCCCCAAGTCAAAGTGAGGATGAAAGGTAAACATTTGGAAGGCAATCAGGACATTAAGGCAGTCATGACAGGACAGCTAATACAGGAAAGAGGACTTCCAGAACTGCTTCAGAAAGTAGCAAGAACAATGAGATAAGTGTATTTGAAGTGAGGGGAGAGTATTTTGAGGGGGATTAATGGCAAAGTATAATTTACTACAATAAACTTTAAATTTAAACATTCACCATATGTTTTGTTCACACCTCACAGCTGGACTATCTTCTGTAGAAGAAAGGGAAGCATTTCTTTTCTCCTCAAAATCTCTCTGAGGAGATTGTTGATGAGTCCTCATGTGGCCAAATAGGTGAAGGAAGGCAATCCAGTTTCAGGCAGGTAAGAAACAAGATGGTGCCCAGGGGATTCCAGAAGGTGACAAGCCACCAACTACAAAAGAACAGGAAGTATTCAAAACCTTGCCGGTTATCATTCCTTTTAATTTCTTCTTCTTTGCCTTTCTTTTCCCCCTATTCCTCCTCCTCCTCCTTTCTCTCTTCCTTCTTTCCCTTCCCCTACCCTTTCTCCTTCTCTCTCTCTCTTTTTTTTTTTTTTTTTTTTTTTTTTTGGCAGTACTGGGGATTGAATCCAGAACCTTCACACTGAGCTACCTCTAGAAGCTTTTTATTTTTTATATCGAGACAGTCTCAGTAGGTTGCTAAGTTATCCAGACTGAGCTCAAATTCTTTTGATCCTCCTGCCTCCGTGTCCCAGAGTGCTGGGATTACAGGTTCCGCCACACCCAGCTTGATCATGACCACTTTGTAAGACACCTCATCTCTCTCTCTCTGCACCCACCCCAACACGCATACAGCATGGCCTGGGAGACAGGAGGCTCTGGAATCTGAGTGCTGGACTGAGGTCAGCGAGGCACAGGCACTACTTTCTCAGAAGTGGCCCTGACTTGCCTGTGAGTGCAGCAGGTGCAGTCAACAGCCCAGCCTCCAGAACACACAGAAGAGCCTGCACCTGCCTGGCACCACTGTCCTAGCCTCCTGACATCAGCAGTGTTTCTCAGTCCCAAGGACAGGGCTCATTCTCCATGTGTCCTTCCCACCCCTGTACC